TCCCCTTTCTTTCTTTTCTAAAATCTCAATTGTTTTTATTTGGTTAAAATCTCTTTAATGAAGGTTATATAAAAAGAAAAACTCTGTCTATGGATAACTACTAGAGCAGTAACAAGAAGAAAAAGGAAAGGCCAATAGAAAAATAGGTGTTATGGCTTACATAAAAGTCTGCATGTAACATCTGTTTCGACTAAAAACAAAGTAGTAAGTATAAATGACAGGAGCCAATTGTGTGAGATAAACATAGCACTTGGAAGCAAAGTGCTATTAAGGAATAGGAGCGACAAAATAACATTATTGTGTTTACTGTTTTTGTGCACTCCAAAGATTGTTCTTGTGAGAAAAAGATGTAAAATATAAATAAGTATCCTGCTTCCTGAAGGGTAGACATTAACTGCAGGAGAAGATGTACACATCGGTGCTCAGCAAACCAACAACAAGGAAAAGGCAACCTGCCAACTCTCACAATTAAATGTGCATCAAAATTGCCTGCTACCTAAATGTGATAACAGTATTTGGAGAAAAACATCCCGCAGACATTGCAAAAAAAAATCTAAGGGGAGAAACACAATATAAAACTCCATAGTTTTTAGATACGCATATGTGCAACCTTTATTCCTTGAAGTAGGCAAGACTATTTATAGGTCATAACAAAATGATGAGGCATGTGCAACTGACAACAGGACTGTTGTAAAAGAAAAGGGGAAAAATGGTGCACTGCAGCAACTCCTTCGTGTCAAACTTGACTCCAGGCAACAACACAAACTACTGCAGTTCTCTGTGGCTGCTACCCACTGCAGGGAGGAAAGGCCTATTTTGATTGCTCCAGGCCAGGCAACTGATGCACCCAGTAGGGTTTCAGGGAGTTATTCCTGAAACTCTGCAGCATGCTCTAGTCCAGGGGTAGGCAACCTCGGCTCTTTTATGACTCGTGGACTTCAACTCTCAGAATTCCTGAGTCAGCATAGCTGACTCAGGAATTCTGGGAGTTGAAGTCCACGAGTCATAAAAGAGCCGAGGTTGCCTACCCCTGCTCTAGTCAAAGCTGCTTGGAATGAGTAGGCAACGAGAGCCTTAAATTGAATCTCAGACTCTACGTGATTGAAGGTCCCATAGAGCTTCCTGTTTTCTGAGGAGCTTTGGAGATGAAAACACCTCTTGTGAATATGTCTGGAGAAAGACAAAGAACAAATCCAATTGAGCATGAGTAGGAGCCCTTAAGTGGACTTATTTGGTGACAGAACAAATGATACAGTGAGCCTGCTTCTTTGCTTTTATTGTGTTTGCAAATAACCGACCAGCAGCCTTCGTTTGGGTAACCAGAGCCTTTCATGTTAAGGAGGGGTTGGTGAAGCTGTTTCAGGCTCACTGTGAGGGCTATTCTAGACATCTGTTGGACAAAGTCACTGAAATCCACTTGAGTTGGACATGAACAAGGCAGGCCTTATGCAAGTGATTGAGATACAGTCTTGCTATCTGAAATAAATGTAACCTGCTTAGGCCTGAGGAAGTAGATAGGGTCCTTGGAGCTGTGAGCTCGTCTACCTTTTAGTTCCATGTTGCTCTTAGTTGGTCAAGAACAGCCAGGAGGAACATGTAGTTGTGTCCAAGAGGTAATGAATGCTTTTTTTTTGCGCAGAAGACCTCTAGAGCAGACATGTCAAACACAAGGCCCGGGGGCCGGATGCGGCCCGCGAAGTGGTTTCATGTGGCCCGCGAAGCCATCTTGGAAACAGTGAGGGAACGGCCTCCGCTGCCTTGGCCCTGGCCCAGGCCGGCCGGGAGCCAATGTACAATTTTGTGGTGGCCATCCATGCTGAAACGCATTCAGTCTTAGCTCCACGAGGCTGTCGGGAAACAGCGAGGAACCAGCCCCTGCCGCATCGCCCCCGCCCCCTGGGTGCATGCTGGGGAGGTATCACCCTTTGTGAGGAATGAAGAAATGGACCATGCCTAGGCGCTTGCCCCGGTCCCACCCTCTTCTGCCAGAGACCCTCAGATCTGTCCCCCTCCTGCCCAGGCCCCCACAGGCACCCTTGACGCGAATGATGTAGAGTTGGCCATGCCCACCCAGTAGGCCATACCCACTCCATCCACACCCACCCAGTAGGCTGCACCCACCCTGGCCACACACACACCCCGAGGGCAACTGTAATGCTGATGCGTCCCTCAATGAAATTGAGTTTGACACCCCTGCTCTAGAGGATATGTAATGGTGGTGATGCATCTGTCTTTGTTCTTCTAGATCTCTCATCAGCTTTTGATAGCACTGAGTATGGTACCTTTCTGGACTAAGTCCATGGGTTAGAAGGGAGGAGACTCTTTTTTGGTAGTTCTCCTTCCTTCTTTCAATGCTACTTCGTTTATGTTGATGGGGAGGGGGAGAGATGTAACCCTAAACCTCTCTTATCTGCAATTCCTCAAGGCTCAACTCTCTCCCCACTCATATTTAACATCTAAATGAAATCACTGAATGAAGTTATTTGTCAGCACCATCAAAATATTACTTAGCTAAGTATTCTGCCCTTAGCTGTACAATTTGTTCAAGGTTGTTATACAGTGATTGGATGCTGTTGGGGTTTGGATGGGGGGAAATAGATTTCAGCCAAGTGGTTCTAGACTTCTGAACCTTCTAGGCCTGCTTTTATATCTCTTACTGCTATTGGAGTAGCACTCCACCAGAGTTAATACGCCATCTGGAGGTCTTCTGGAACACACAGCTCATGCTCAAAGAGTTTTGCACAGATTTGTCCCATGCACCAGTTGTGCTCATTTCTGGATTACGATGCTTGTCATTCATACCTTTTGTCACCTCCTGATTGGAAACTGTTTTGTGCTCTAGATGGAACTTTCCTAGAAGAATACTCAGAACTTAAACTGTTTCAGAATGTAACAGTGCTTCGTTTCGGGTACTCCAAAGTGCCCCTGTGTAACATCACTGCTGCACAAGTGACATTGCCTTCCAGTATATTTCCAGAGGCAATTCAAGGTGTTGGTCATCACCATTAGAAGCAGTGCATGGCACCAGGTCAGATTATTTGCAGAACTGACTATTTCAGCATTTCTGCTGAATCCTTCAGGAATATTATTACACTGCAGATATCACCTATATTGAGGGCATCTGATGGACCCAAATTTTAATTTTAAAATATGAAATGATTAAAAACTTGTGAGACCATGTACTCTCATAAGGTTTTGACATTCCACTTGAAATCTTACGATAATTTGAGCAGGAATGCTGAAATCTCAGCAAATCTTAGGTGAATTTTATCCATTAATATAAAATTAATGTAGGGGCCACCTACAATACTGTTACAAACCACCATGATCCCCAGACTCTAGGATGGGAATAATTGCTTTAAAAAAGGATGCAGCTATACCATACAATGTCTCATCTATTTATCCCTTCCGAAAGTGCACCTAGGTATGAAGTTAATATATATCTTATAAAGTAATATAAACTGAGGATTAAACTTATTCACATATACAAATACCAATTAACAAAAAAGATCAGATAAATTATTCCCTTACTACAATTATTTCTTTCTACGCAGCATTGCAAAATATCTTATTTGCAAAGCAAAGCTGGAGGCCAAACATAGCTACAATTAAATAATTACTTCAGACACATAAACATAGATTGGTGAAGGGGAATTCTCAGTTATCAAAAACACCACTGTCACATTTCCCAGAAGTGATTCTTGTTAACAGTCTTTGTTGAGCAAAAAAAAAAGGGCTTTACTTGCATAAGCCTTCACCTGTGGTTATTTCACTTTCATAGATGATGCTCTGAAAAACTGCTTTCTTCTTCTCTTTTGTTTCACTACCCTTTTTTATTTTCGACTTGTTTCAACTGGGGATTTGAGGGCAATTTAGGACAGATGCCTTTTAGAACAAAGTAAGATTCAGAAAACAGACAATGAACTACAGACTGGCTGGATCTAAAGACTGTTGACAGATCAGTGTTGCTATTCAGAAACTCCACAATGAAGATGTGACTTTGACTCAGTGGTGACTGAGCAAAACCTAGGCTAACCTTAGACATTTTTTTTTCCTTTTAAAATCAGACAGAACAATCAACAAGATTAAGGGAACTGAAATTCTCCCAAGTCATTTCCCACGAGACTTACTCAGCATTTCCAGGCACAAGGGGAAAAAAATAACAAAAAGGGATCTGAAAAACTGAACAGTTCAGCAAACTCAGTACTCCAAAGAGAAACCACAATTTAAAGACAACAAAATTGGCTTGTTTTAACAGAGTAACATAATTGGAAGGGACCTTGGAGGTCTTCTAGTCCAACCCTCTCCTCAAGCAGCAAACTCTATTCCATTTCAGACAAATAGTTGTCCAAACTCGACTTAAAAACCTCTCATATTGGAGCACCCACAAATTCTGCTGTTCCACTGACTAATTGTTCTAACTATCAGGAAATTTCTCCTTAGTTCTAGGCTGCTTCTCTCCTTGATTAGTTTCCATCCATTTTAGAAGCAGAGAAATTCAGTGCTGCTTCCAATGAGATTGATCAGGAAATTTAAGAGACAAACTATTATTTCTTGTCTTGCAAGCCTAAAATATACCAGTCAAACTTTGGCATAAGAAGGACAAAGGAATTATAAAGAGCCAAATCTGGAAAATCCAGTTGTGTGTGAAAATGATACCTGTCAAACAGAATTGAATATGACAATATTGTATTCAACAGTACTGAATATGGACAGGCCCATTCACATTCCTCTGACATCATCAATGCAACCCTTGTACCTCCCAAAGCACACAAAAAAATTCTTTGCATGAGCAACAACATCAGGTATGGAAGTGTGCTTCCCACAACTTCTGAAGCTTCCAAGTACCTGTTCATCCCTCAATGTTCTTCTACCAACAAGACACTCAAAAACAAGCACCACCTGGTTCTTTTACCAAACAAGGCACTTGCAACCAGTAATTTTGCTCCATTGGCAACATTACTGATATCCATTCTCCCTCCCACCAAAGGGAACCTTACCTTCGACCACATCTGTGCGAGGATTGGTTGTCTTGTCAGAAGCTGGCTCGGCTGCTTCAGTGGCCAAGGAAGTGGTTATTCGGGAAAAATCACTGGCACCCTCACTGCGGCTTGTTTCAGGCACACTTTCTCTGGAACTGAAGCGGACGCAAGAACTCGAGCGGGAGCTAAGATCCGGGCTAGTGTCAGACAGGCCTGGGATATCATCAATTTTAGTGGGGGTAACCATAAACCGGACAGAAGCCATCTTGGCAACAAAGATGGCAAAGAGAACCAAAACAAAAAACAAAAAAACTCCAACCCTTTTCCCTGATCAGTTTAACCTAAAGTCACCTCAAGTCGTAAGAGGAAGATCATTCAGAAAAGTAGAGATGCCAACAATGTTATTCAATATTCTCTCATAAGGAAGATTCATGTCTACCCTGGATTCACAAACTGTTTCACACAGCGTGCTATTTTGACATCAATGCTTATTGGGTGTATTTTTAGAAGTACAGCCTAAGATTGAGTGAAGGCAATATTCCATGATTTTGTAGGTTAATGTTTCACAAATGATTACGCTGAAGATTTCCATGCATCAGGCAAATAGGTCAGTTTTCTGTTCTTAAGGATAGCCTAAAGGTCAAAAAAGAAAAACGCTTGCAAATTTATCTGTCAAAAGGACACAATGCAAAAATTCCAGCTTTAACAGCCATACAGAACTTGCTCAACGTTTCGGTAAAGCAAATGCCTTTTATCTCAGCAAAATGCAACAGGAAAAAAATATATATCCAAAGGCAAAGATCTGCAAGGTATGCCAAAATGCTAGAAAGTCTATAGTGAATGTAAGGTTATATAATCCACTTGTTTTCTATGGTGAATGCTAGGAAAAAATATACTTTTCTTTGCAAATATCCCTTATGATTCTGGTGCAGAAAAAGACAAGAGAGAGAGACAGAAGTGGGGTGTTTTTTTCAAACCGGAGAGGAAAAATGTCAGATTCCAGTGCAAGAACTTAAAGAGGAGAAGGCAAAGTTATCTCTTAAGGTGCAACATCAAGAACTCTTCAAACTTCCAGTTGTTTTTGAAGATCTTGGTAGAAGGAGATAACCTTTAGATGGGTCTAGTGCAAGGAAATTGTCAGTCCTCCTCAAATGGTAGGATTCTGGAAAAAAAAGTGAATATATATATATATATCAAAAAGTCTATTACACAAAATTGCACTGAGACATTGAATCCTCTGTAAAATCTCACTAACCCAAGGTAGTCCTTGACTTACAACAGTTCATTTAGTGGCCGTTCAGTTACAACAGCACTGAAAAAATTGACTTATGCCCATTTTTAACACTTAGAATTGTTGCAACATCCCTATGATCACATGATCAAATTCAGACAGTTGGCAACTGAGTGATATTTATGATGGTTGCAGTGTCCAAGTACCATCCGATCATCTTTTGTGATCTTCTGACAAGCAAAGTCAATAGGGAAACCAGATTCACTTAACAACCATGTTACTAACTTAACAACTGCAGTGATTCACTTAACAACCATGGCAAGAATGGTTTGTAAAATGGAGTAAAACTCACTTAACTGTCTCACCGAACAACAGAAAATTTGGGTTCAACTGTGGTTGTAAGTCAAGGACTGCCTGTATTGTTAGTTGCTTGCTTGCCCAGCACCTCTTAAGGAAAATATTTGTAACTCAGGGTTGAAATGAGGGGTCCTTGGTGTGGTAAGAAAGATCGTAAAATGGGGCGAAATTCACTTAACAAATGTTTCACTTAGCAACAAATTGTGGCCGTTAAGTCAAGGACTATCTATACTTGGTGGTGCGTTATCCCAAGAGGGACAAAGGACCATTTCAAAACTATTACTGCAGGAGAGTTCACCAAAAAGCTAGGAACACACATTTCCAGGTCTCCAACCCACAGAATGACAGCAACGCCATTACGAGCCCACAGATTCTCGCTGCAAAAGATGGGGGGGGGGGAGAGGAGCTTTGGAGGCAAAGCAAGTGGTCGTGAGAAAGCCCACCCCAATGCACCCAGACCTCTGCAGACAAGATAATGAAGCAAAGCAGACCAACTCACACACCCCAACTGGACCCTAAAGCTGAGGACCCACAGACCAATACAAAGGGGGGGGGGCAGGGGCTGCAGCGTTCAAGCCCCCGTCCAAAGCAGGGGGTCTGGCTTCTCCATACCTCAAAGCCACACAAACCCACAAACCCACATCCTCCGCGTGAGCCGCAGAGGGAAAGAGCGTGCAAGAAACTCTCGGGGATACAGGTGGGAAGGCGACAGTGCGCGTGCGCCATCCTCGCGCTCTTTCTCTTCTCTCCCCCCCTCCTCCTCCCGCTCGAGCTCCACACGTCCTTTGATGTGTAGCCCCCGGGAAAGCGGCCGTTGCTTGTTTACCTGCGGCGCGCGGCGAACCGGCTCCCCCCCCAACCAACGTTCTAAAAAAAAAAAAAGGGTCTCGGCCGCGCACGCGTTCTCAAGACCTTTCGCCGTCTTGTTTGTCGGACCGTCTTAGTTAGACTGACCGGCCGGCCGGCCGGCGCGCGCAGCACACAGCGCAGCTCCCCGCACGCACGCTGGTACTGCCGCTATCTCAGATGCTGGGAAAGGAGGAGGGGGAGGAGGGAAAGCGGACTCTCCTTAAGTGTCCTCATCCTCTCCTCTTTCCAATGCTATTCCCCCCCCCGACGCTTTTTTTTTTTTTTTTGCCACGCAAGCGCAGAAAGAAAGAGCGGTTACTGTTGCTGGGCTTTTTTTTTTTTTTCCTCCTTCAGAGAAGCGCGCGAAAGCGAGGGAGGTGGGAGGGCGGGTTTGGAACCCTTTGGAGAGCGGAGGGGGCGCGCGAAAGAGAAGGGGGATAGTACAAACGCGCGAGGGTTGCTGGGGGATGTAGTTTCATTAGAATGAGGGGGGGCTTTCTTACCTCCAAGAATATGTCGCTGAAAGAAATTATAGTGAGAGGAGGGACTAGTGAGACTTCGGGAAAAATTGGACGAGCAACTCATGACATGAGAGCAATCTCTTTTGGTCGGCTTAGCCCCCTTCCTCCAAATAACCACACACAGGATTCACAACTTTATTGTATGACTTCTAAGGCATCCTTAAGCAAAGTCTGGGGCAATCTTGGCTTTTCTGCGATGCTAAGCTTGGTCAGACCTGGTTCCTCCTTGGATGGAGAGTATTGCAAGATTTATACGTATTTAATGGGTTTAAGATACTTGGATGATTAATAGCAGCAAGATTAGTAGCTAATTTTTACTTTTTATTTTTGTAGAAATGGCAAAGTTTAATTTTTAGATATTTGGATTTGGGAAAGATGGATAATTATATTTTGAGTTTTGGAGCTAAAATATGTAGTATATAATTTTTGTTGTTTTTTTATTATTATTTGAGTTAAAGTTTATATATTTTATATAACTTATATATGCATTTTATAGTTACGTTTGTTATTGTTTATTGGAGTTAAAGTAAATTAATACCTGTATGTATTATAATTGGATTGTTTTAGTTAGATTTGGGTTGTTTACGTGACTATTCCTGTATTTAGTTCTGGGAAGTCCGAGGGGGGGGGAGGAAAGGGATGAAGGGATAGAATCATATAAAATTTGGTGTATTTATTCTTTATAGAAAAACAATGTAAATAGAGGAGATGATCGGCTAGTACCCTAAACTGCATCCGAGGAGGGGGAAAAAGAAGGGGATGGGATGTGTAGGACAGTTGGAAAGGAGGAAGGAGGAGAGGTTGTGGGTTCGAGGGAAGGAAGGAAGAGGAAAGTAGGTAGGGTGGGGGAGTGAGAGGGGTTGCAGGGGGGGGGGATCGCCGATCATTTCCGAGAATGATTAGGTATTTTTTTTGTTTTAATTATAAGCATCATATTTGTATTATGTTTTCATGAAAAATTAATAAAAATTTGAAATAAAAAAGAGAGAGTATTGCAAAATCTCAGGGCTGGAAACTTATATTAGAAATGGAATGGTGTGTGTGTGTGTGTGGAGAAATCCCCAGAATGGAGCCATGGCAAATGACATCTGCATTATTACCTACATGTCACTAGGAGCAAAGCTGAAGGAGATTAGTTTTTATGGCAGTGTTTCTCAACCTTGGCATCTTGGTTGAGCTCTTCTGGCTGGGGAATTCTGAGAGTTGAAGCCCCCCCCCCCCATATCTTAAAGTTGCTAAAAACATTGCTCCATGGCTTGAAAGATTACTGGCACATTACAGTGTGCAAAGAAATGCAATGATATTGCAGAGTAATGTGTGCAATCATGACATGCAGTAATATTGTAGAATAATGCAGAGCAGGCATTGCAGCAATGCAATATTACGGAGCATTTAGCTTGAAGTGGTTAATATGTTATAATAATATCACAGCCCTTCAAAAGAAAGAAAAGGCCATGGTAGCTTTGAGGGCACGTGTCCCATAGCGGCCGATGCATCTGGGAAGCCTGCAAGCAATATTAGGAGACCAATAACTCTTTTCCATACTTGCTTCTGAGTCACTGGTGATTATTTAGGGCACATGAGATATTCCAAAAATATACCTCCCAAAATTAGTGGTCACAGAGGGTCTGGTGTTAGTCTAATTCCTTTCTAAAGCCGTCAAAATTATTGACATCACAATGGAAGACTGTTGTGGCATTTTTCATTCTGTGCAAGGAAGCCCTTTTCACCCACCCCAAATAATCCCACCATTAACTTCTGTTTTGCCTTCTTTCCCCTTCTCCTGGAAACCTTCTGGGAAAGGAAAATCATATTTAACTTCATTAAATTAAATTAAATTAATAAATCAGAACTGAATTTGCTTCCCAACACTGTAAGAGGAAATCTACTGGCAGTCTGTCTCCCCTCAGCTTTTTCTAGTTCTTGACCAAAATTATTGGATCCTCTTGGTGGTAAGACTGTTAGACTGACACAAAAAAGGAAAGCAATTCTGAATACATTTGGAAAGGATTCAATGTAGAGTGTCTGAATCATCTCCGCATAGGCAAGCCTGAGTCATAGTCCAGCTTATATTATAAATGGACAGGTCAAGTTTAATAAATGGTTTTCTCCATGAAGCTTAAGGGAGTTTGCTATTCTGTTTTTCTCCCTATATCGCAGTAGTTCTCAACCTGTGGGTCGGGACCCCATTTGGGGTCGATCGACCATTTCACGGGGGTCGCCAAGCAAGGCTGTCAGCTATTTTTTTGTCCGCCATTTTTTTGTCTGCCATTTTTTTCCCCTTTTCCGGCGGGTGCCTTACCTCCCTTGGGCTGGGCCAGCTGGTGGTCGGCCTGCTCCGTCTCTGCCGCTTGCCAGCTACGCCTCGGCCGGCGCAGGGGGCGGAACCACGCATGCGCGGCGCTCCCGGGCAGGGAAAGTCCTCGACTTACGACCGGTTTAGTCCTCGACTTACGACCGGTTTAGTCCTCGACNGGCTCTTCCAGCAAGCGGACCTGACCTAGGGAGGATTTTATATGGGGTTTATTTTTTAGCAATTTGACAGAGACACAACTTTAAAATTTGATTTAATTCGGTTTTATTGGGGGGGGAATGTATTTATGTTTTGTTTTAAATATGTTGTGCGCCGCCCTGAGTCCCGTCGGGAGAAGGGCGGCATATAAATTAAATAAATTAAAAAAATAAAATTAAATAAATTAAATTAAATAAAATAAATAAATTGCTAAAAAAAAACCCTACATTACATGGTTATTATTGGCATAGGTTGAGAATTGGGACAATTTAGGCACTTTTCTGCTTGCAAGAATATCTTCCAAGCATTCCAATTCCAGGAAAGGGCAATAGACTTTGTGTCTTGATTCTCATTTACCCATCCAAACCTATTCTATTTGGCAAGTCTTCCTTGTTGACAACTTTTCAGAGTTGAAGAGCACTATTAAATTTCTCTTTAGTTTTCTGTTTGTTCATTGAATCTAGTTTCTCATCCCCTGGATCATCTTTGTACCTTTTCTGAAATTCGCTTCGATTCCTCTGAATCTTAAAATGTAGTACCCAGAATTGAATTCAAAGTGTGGGGGTGTCCAACCAATGCAGAATGAAGATAAATTATTACTTATGATTTGGAAAGTATACTTCCCTTGAAAGAGCCTAAAATATTTGCCTTCTTTGCATCACTATTTTGCCGAGTCATGTAATGTATTTTAACTCAGATTGTTTAATTCAGATTGCTGCAGTGACAGTGTTTAGAATGCAGTATTTCAGGCTAATTCTGTCGACTGCCAGCAGTTCAATCCTGACCAGCTCAAGGTCGACTCAGCCTTCCATCCTTCCGAGATCAATAAAATGAGGACCCAGATTGAAAGGACTGTAAAGCACTGTGAAGCCTAAGTATAACTCTAAATGCCATTGCTGTTGTTTATGAACTGCTATTCTAAAACCTTTTTCCTAAATGTTACTACCAAGCCCCATCCTATAACTATGCATTTGTTGTGTTTCTCAGATGGATGACTTTGCATTTGTCTGTTCAATTTCATTATTTTCAAGCCATTTTTAAAAATTTTATAAGCACACTTTGGATTTTTTTGAGAGTATTTTTTATCCTATCCAATTTTGTAATATCAGTATATTCGATAAGTTTTTTTCCCATTTTCATACCCAAAACAAAAAATATTGAAAAAATATAGAGCTAAGGAAGGAGGACAGAACCTTATGGTACCCCACTCAATATTTCCCTACAGTTTGATGAGAAACTGTCAATGAGTGTGATTTTCAAGTCAGCATCAATCCACTTGTTGTGCCACATAGCCAAAAGTTAGCTGGTTAGCTTAAGAACTAAAAGAATCATCCACTCAAAATACAAGTCACTTTTTTCCAGTGTTACTGATATTGATAGCCCTACCATGCTAAAAAAAAAAAAGCAAAAAAAAGCTATACTTCTCTGGAAAATACGACACAGACCCATCGTGCTAAAGAAGCAGAACAATGGAAAAATCTCACTTTATTTCCAGAATATTACATAGCCAGAAAAACGCCAATAAAATATAATTTTGTCTTGCTTGCTTGCAGGATGTCATTCATTCATTCCTCTTCCACGGAACGCAAAGGGAATTGAGTCAAGTTTGAAAAACATCAGCAAAGAACGCAACAGTGTGGACGGCAGATCGACAGGTATTCTTCACCTTCACGGGCTTCTTCAAAGCTGCTCTCAAAGCTTCTCTCGCCACCTTTGTAACTCGGGAGGAGAATGGAAGCACATTTAAACAACAGGCCGAGGCTGCTGGGTCATCAGGACACCAAAGCGTTTCTTGATGGTGATCCTGTGTCGAGAATATTTGTCATCAGGAGAAAAGCGGGCCGGATGGGCTGAACATGTTGGCTGGCCGGACGGATCCACCTTCTACAAAACCGGGGAGGCAAGACAGAACCGTGTGTCAATTTCACGAAAAATGATGTATTAATTTGAAATCAACATATTTCATCTGAAAACCATGCAGGCCCCCAACCTCTCAGACGAAATAGCTGTATGAGCATAACTTAATTGAAAGCTCACTGGAACGTATCCAGAACACGTGCAAAGTATTAGAAGACCATGAAAAAACAATGCTGAGATGCTCAGTAATCTGCCTGAGGATTGTGCTGCAATGCTTCTCTTTAATTTAGAGAAGTATGTTCAACCACCAATCCACTTGACCTCCAAAGCAAATTGGAAAGTGTTAAAAGTCTCCCTGCAGGTTCTCTCTGGAGTCTTTATTTTCACTCACAAACAGACACGAATCCAGCTCTGGGAAAAGGTCAGCATGTGCCCATCGGTGTTTGATTGACACCACTAGCATCCATCAAATGTGCTTTCTTATCAAAAACAGGTCTAACATTAGACAACCAATGACCCCATGGGGTCATCGTTTCAGAAATATTTCCTTATCAGATGCCTCAATGTCTTCAACAATGACAGAGCTTCTAATGCACTGCTTTCACTGGAAAAGTTAGGATTCATTCAGAGATGTATCTGCCTTGAAAATAGCACATGTTGAACTGAGGGGTCTTTGGTGCTCTCTGTGCTGGGTTATTTTTTTTGCAGATGTTTCATTACCCAAACTGGGTGACATCATCAGTGCTAGATGTTCAGTGCCAGCACTGATAATGTTACCTAGTTGGATAATGAAACAACTGCAAGAAAACAGCCAAGCTCAGAGGGAGCACCAAGGACCCCGTCAATTCAACCCTAAGCTACAAATATTCTATATTAGTACTATGTTGAACTGTATAGCACAGGGTTCCCCACATCCCGATCCACAATCCTATATCAGTCCGCAGCTTGTTGGGAACCGGGCCATACACGCAGGTGAATGAAGCTTCATCTGCACATGGGCAGGATCTAGGTTGTGCACCCAAAACCATCCCTCCCATCACCCTTCCATGGAGCCAGAAAAGATGGGAACCACTGATATACGCATACCACAATCAAACATCAGCAAAGGACATATTTTATGACATTTTGCATTGTGTCATAAGGATATTGTTTATGTCATAAAAAGCTTTATAACATTTGCAAAATTTCAATTCCACAGGAGTCATGCATGAGTCCCGGATTATGGATGCATTATATAAATTAGCCTATTTGAAGTAGTTTGTTTCAAAAATTGTTGTTCTATGGTTTCCTAACGTTTTGCCCAATTAAAGGATATGGGAAAGAGTTTTAGTAGTATTGAGAATCTAATGTGGTGATTAAAATACATTGTATGCTGCCAAGAGTCATTTTTAGTGAGATGAGAGGCTGTATGTATGTATGTATGTATGTATGTATGTATGTATGTATGTATGTATGTATGTATGTATATGTGCAGTTTATGCATCACATTAAACCCAAAATCCAGCAGTTGGATTCATGCTTTTTTTTGGTTTTGGCTTAGCATGGTATGAAATTGGCTACACATTTTCAAAAAATCTTACTTCAAACATTTTTGGAACAATACTAAGCTCAGCTTGTCAGAGACTGAAATCAAAATGTAGTAATGAATAATATAATAAGTAGATATAATTACCATATTACCATTATAACAGTAAATAATCCCAAAGCTAGGCAGTGACATTACATTAAGAGGTATTCTCATCATCCTATAATTATATGAGGTCCACCCCAAAATTCGAATGCCTTCCATACGACGGGTATTTCAAATGACCTGGCTCTTTGCCCAGACCTTTGGAGAAGACAATTGATGTTCCTTTCTTCTCCTCTCTTTGTCTCTGGGTTTACTTTCGTTGCCATCATTCTTCTTTTGGCTTGTACTGTTTTGTAGAGTTATTTTCTACTTCTCTGTTTTAAATATTTTAACAATTATAAACCATCCATAGTTGCCAGGAGTTGGGAAGCATATAATTTTTTAAAAAAGTATTATATTATTATGTACCCTAAAATGTGAAATCACAGTTGCAAGTCTTTAGCTGGTGTTGGCCTTCATATGTATTAAGTTCTTTCCCAAAACCTAGGATGTTGTAATATATGTGTGGATCCAAGTAGTGCGGCCTTTCACAATTGACAGATAGAAATTTGGTCAATGTGTACAGTTTCTAAGGGCCATCCAATTTTTTTTTGTCTGGCACCAAATGGGCCAATAACTATTGGGGCCAACACCGCCAGCTTATGCTATAATCTTTCAATTTTGATTTTCAAATCTTGCTACTTTGTGATCCTACCCAACTCTTTGTGTTCTCTTCTACTATCCCCTGGTACTGTCACATCAATTATCCACATTTTCTTCTTTTCAACCACAGTTAAACATGGTGTGTGGTCAAGACTATATCAGTTTGTGTTCGGCTTTATTAATACATTATAAATTATTATTGGTGCATCTTTTGAAAGCCTTAATATCACAAAACAAACATGAATGTTACGGCTCTAACCACTGAGTTGCATATTTGTGCTTTCGATCTCTTTTTATCAGTTTTGCTTTAGGAGTGTGAAAAATTCTATAGGATACAGTAAATGAATATTCCATTCCCAAATCTAGATAACAATCCCATTCTAACTTTTTTTCACACCGGTTTCTACATTTCCCAGTTTTTCTTCTCCAGGCTAAAGACCTGGAAGAGCCCCAAAAATAATTATCCTAGTTTTAAATTGAACAAAAAATATTCCCATATTAAATTCTGCAAATCCAGCTGCATATGGAGATCATTCTCTCCACCTCCCTTTACTTCCCAAAAGATGATTAAGAGAAATACTATGGAAAGAAGATTGTGTTTGCAGCCGCACCGGATGCATGAAGATTAGCTACAGGGTGTCAAAACACAAANGCATAATATCCAGTTCTGGCATGCCACCCCAAATATACTTGCATGGATTCTCCCTGCTTGGAGACACAAATTGTTCCCCATTTTTTACACACCTCTGGTCAGCAAAAAAAAGCTGCATCAGACTGAGTAGCACAGAAGTGCTAGGTGCTGATTCAGCCTTGCTTAATTCACGTGAGCCTCTGCTCTGCTCAAAATCTAATGGCAGCAGCCCTTCTATTTATTGTCTGTCTTCACCCCCACTCTTAACTGCGGTTTCAGCAGCAGGATATGAACATGAGACATTTTAAATAGCGGTCTTTGGCTTAGATCAGCCTTTTCCAACCCCAGTTTGAGGCAGGAAGTGGAAACTCAAGCAATACAAGGACAAAACAGAATTCATAACAAGCAAGCCCCTTCAGTATTCTGCATCCATGGCAGTAGAAAATGACCACCTGCTGTATGGTTGTCTTGTATGGTTGATCACTCTTTCTCCAAGAGCATTAAAATTTTAAAGAATTATGCTGCAATAAATATGTCCAAGATACAGGGTGAGGAGAATGGCAATCTCATGATAAAAAAACAGGTGAGGCAAAGTTTTTTGGGTTCTCAACTATGGCACAAGTCTCACCTGTAACCAGCAGAAATGAAACCTTAAGCAGCCATTTTACATGGCTGCCCTAATCTGCTGGGGAGACCCTAAGCAGCCAGCAAAATTCAAATTGCTAAAAAAAACCTTGCATTACATGGTTACTATTGGCATAGGTTGAGAATTGGGACAATCTAGGCACTTTTCTGCTTGCAAGAATATCTTCCAAGCATTCCAATTCCAGGAAAGGGCAATAGACTTTGTGTCTTGATTCTCATTTACCCATCCAAACCTATTCTATTTGGCAAGTCTTCCTTGTTGGCAACTTTTCAGAGTTGAAGAGCACTATTAAATTTCTCTTTAGTTTTCTGTTTGTTCATTGAATCTAGTTTCTCATCCCCTGGATCATCTTTGTACCTTTTCTGAAATTCGCTTCGATTCCTCTGAATCTTAAAATGTAGTACCCAGAATTGAATTCAAAGTGTGGGGGTGTCCAACCAATGCAGAATGAAGATAAATTATTACTTATGATTTGGAAAGTATACTTCCCTTGAAAGAGCCTAAAATATTTGCCTTCTTTGCATCACTATTTTGCCGAGTCATGTAATGTATTTTAACTCAGATTGTTTAATTCAGATTGCTGCAGTGACAGTGTTTAGAATGCAGTATTTCAGGCTAATTCTGTCGACTACCAGCAGTTCAATCCTGACCAGCTCAAGGTCGACTCAGCCTTCCATCCTTCCGAGATCAATAAAATGAGGACCCAGATTGAAAGGACTGTAAAGCACTGTGAAGCCTAAGTCTAAATGCCATTGCTGTTGTTTATGATGAACTGCTATTCTAACACGTTTTTCCTAAATGTTACTACCAAGCCCCATCCTATAACTATGCATTTGTTGTGTTTCTCAGATGGATGACTTTGCATTTGTCTGTTCAATTTCATTATTTTCAAGCCATTTTTAAAAATTTTATAAGCACACTTTGGATTTTTTTGAGAGTATTTTTTATCCTATCCAATTTTGTAATATCAGTATATTCGATAAGTTTTTTCCCATTTTCATACCCAAAACAAAAAATATTGAAGAAATATAGAGCTAAGGAAGGAGGACAGAACCTTATGGTACCCCACTCAATATTTCCCTACAGTTTGATGAGAAACTGTCAATGAGTGTGATTTTCAAGTCAGCATCAATCCACTTGTTGTGCCACATAGCCAAAAGTTAGCTGGCTAGCTTAAGAACTAAAAGAATCATCCACTCAAAATACAAGTCACTTTTTTCCAGTGTTACTAATATTGATAGCCCTATCATGCTAAAAAAAAAAAAAAAAGCTATCCTTCTCTGGAAAATACGACACAGACCCATCGTGCTAAAGAAGCAGAACAGGGAGGGTAGAAATAGAAACAAAATAATTAGGAGTTTTGATGTATGGTGAGAAGTAGAAATGTGTATTAAGAGTATTGATGTATGGAATAATAGAGAATTTTGAATGCTCGGCTAGCACCTCCAAACCGTGTCCGAAGGGTGGGAGGAGGAGAGAGGAGAGGAGAGATAGGAGGGAAGTAGGTAGGTAGTAAGAAAGAGGGTGGATGCAGGGAGGGGGTGCTGCCGAGCTGATGCTCGGCTAGCGCCCCCAAAACCGTGTCCGAAGGAGGAGGAGAGGGAAGGAGGTGGGATGTGTAGGGAGGTTGAAGGAGAGGAGAAAAGAGGGCGGACGCGGGGAGGGGGGGCTGCCGAGCTGTTACTGAAGTTGTTATGTTAATGTATGCTTATATTTGTATTTGTATGGGGGGGGGGGTATTTTAAAATTAATAAAAAAATTATATGTGAAAAAAAAGAAGAAGCAGAACAATGGAAAATCTCACTTTATTTCCAGAATTACATAGCCAGAAAAACGTCAATAAAATATAATTTTTGTCTTGCTTGCTTGCAGGATGTCATTCATTCATTCCTCTTCCACGGAACGCAAAGGGAATTGAGTCAAGTTTGAAAAACATCAGCAAAGAACGCAACAGTGTGGACGGCAGATCGACAGGTATTCTTCGTCTTCACGGGCTTCTTCAAAGCTGCTCTCAAAGCTTCTCTCGCCGCCTTTGTAACTCTGGAGCAGGATGGAAGCCCATTTAAACAATAGGCCGAGGCTGCTGGGTCATCAGGACACCAAAGCGTTTCTTGATGGTGATCCTGTGTCGAGAATATTTGTCATCAGGAGAGAAGCGGGCCGGATGGGCTGAACATGTTGGCTGGCCGGACGGATCCACCTTCTACAAAACCGGGGAGGCAAGACAGAACCGTGTGTCAATTTCACGAAAAATGATGTATTAACTTGAAATCAACATATTTCATCTGAAAACCATGCAGGCCCCACAACCTCTCAGACGAAATAGCTGTATGAGCATAACTTAATTGAAAGCTCACTGGAACGTATCCAGAACACGTGCAAAGTATTAGAAGACCATGAAAAAACAATGCTGAGATGTTCAGTAATCTGCCTGAGGATTGTGCTGCAATGCTTCTCTTTAATTTAGAGAAGTATATTCAACCACCAATCAACTTGACCTCCAAAGCAAATTGGAAAGTGTTAAAAGTCTCCCTGCAGGTTCTCTCTGGAGTCTTTATTTTCACTCACAAACACACACGGATCCAGCTCTGGGAAAAGGTCAGCATGTGTCCATCGGTGTTTGATTGACACCACTAGCATCCATCAAATGTGCTTTCTTATCAAAAACAGGTCTAACATTAGACAACCAATGACCCCATGGGGTCATCGTTTCAGAAATATTTCCTTATCAGATGCCTCAATGTCTTCAACAATGACAGAGCTTCTAATGCACTGCTTTCACTGGAAAAGTTAGGATTCATTCAGAGATGTATCTGCCTTGAAAATAGCACATGTTGAACTGAGGGGTCTTTGGTGCTCTCTGTGCTGGGTTATTTTTTTGCAGATGTTTCATTATCCAAACTGGGTGACATCATCAGTGCTAGATGTTCAGTGCCAGCACTGATAATGTTACCTAGTTGGATAATGAAACAACTGCAAGAAAACAGCCAAACTCAGAGGGAGCACCAAGGACCCCGTCAATTCAACCCTAAGATACAAATATTCTATATTAGTACTATGTTGAACTGTATAGCACAGGGTTCCCCACATCCCGATCCACAATCCTATATCAGTCCGCAGCTTGTTGGGAACCGGGCCATACATGCAGGTGAATGAAGCTTCATCTGCACATGGGCAGGATCTAGGTTGTGCACTCAAAACCATCCCTCCCATCACCCTTCCATGGAGCCAGAAAAGATGGGAACCACTGATATACGCATACCACAATCAAACATCAGCAAAGGACATATTTTATGACATTTTGTATTGTGTCATAAGGATATTGTTTATGTCATAAAAAGCTTTATAACATTTGCAAAATTTCAATTCCACAGGAGTCATGAGTCCCGGATTATGGATGCATTATATAAATTAGCCTATTTGAAGTAGTTTGTTTCAAAAATTGTTGTTCTATGGTTTCCTAACGTTTTGCCTAATTAAAGGATATGGGAAAGAGTTTTAGTAGTATTGAGAATCTAATGTGGTGATTAAAATACATTGTATGCTGCCAAGAGTCATTTTTAGTGAGATGAGAGGCTGTATGTATGTATGTATGTATGTATGTATGTATGTATGTATGTATGTATGTATGTATATGTGCAGTTTATGCATCACATTAAACCCAAAATCCAGCAGTTGGATTCATGCTTTTTTTTTGGTTTTGGCTTAGCATGGTATGAAATTGGCTACACATTTTCGAAAAATCTTACTTCAAACATTTTTGGAACAATACTAAGCTCAGCTTGTCAGAGACTGAAATCAAAATGTAGTAATGAATAATATAATAAGTAGATATAATTACCATATTACCATTATAACAGTAAATAATCCCAAAGCTAGGCAGTGACATTACATTAAGAGGTATTCTCATCATCCTATAATTATATGAGGTCCACCCCAAAATTCGAATGCCTTCCATACGACGGGTATTTCAAATGACCTGGCTCTTTGCCCAGACCTTTGGAGAAGACAATTGATGTTCCTTTCTTCTCCTCTCTTTGTCTCTGGGTTTACTTTCGTTGCCATCATTCTTCTTTTGGCTTGTACTGTTTTGTAGAGTTATTTTCTACTTCTCTTTGTTTTAAATATTTTAACAATTATAAACCATCCATAGTTGCCAGGAGTTGGGAAGCATATAAATCTTAAAAAAATATATTATTATGTACCCTAAAATGTGAAATCAGAGCTGCAAGTCTTTAGCTGGTGTTGGCCTTTATATGTATTAAGTTATTTCCCCAAACCTAGGATGTTGTAATATATGTGTGGATCCAAGTAGTGCGGCCTTTCACAATTGACAGATAGAAATTTGGTCAATGTGTACAGTTTCTAAGGGCCATCCAAAATTTTTTGGTCTGGCACCAAATGGGCCGACAAACTATTGGGGCCAACACCGCCAGCTTATGCTATAATCTTTCAATTTTGATTTTCAAATCTTGTTACTTTGTGATCCTCCCCAACGCTTTGTCTTCTCTTCTACTATCCCCTGGCATTGTCACATCAATTATCCACATTTTCTTCTTTTCAACCACAGTTAAACATGGTGTGTGGTCAAGACTATATCAGTTTGTGTTCGGCTTTATTAATACATTATAAATTATTATTGGTGCATCCTTGGAAAGCCTTAATATCACAAAACAAACATGAATGTTACGGCTCTAACCACTGGGTTGCATATTTGTGCTTTCGATCTCTTTTTATCAGTTTTGCTTTAGGAGTGTGAAAAATTTTATAGGATACAGTAAATGAATATTCCATTCCCAAATCTAGATAACAATCCCATTCTAACTTTTTTTCACACCGGTTTCTACATTTCCCAGTTTTTCTTCTCCAGGCTAAAGACCTGGAAGAGCCCATTTTTATTAATAGGATCAAAATTTAACTTGTTTTTTATAAGGGTATAATTTAAGACGTTTAGGTCGACGTATACCTCTAGTAAGAGAGGTGGAGGGAAATGAAGGGTTTTCTACTAATTCTCTTTATGATACCTTTCTTCTAACACAAACGTCGGCGTGGCCTACGTACTTCTAATCGATGTCCCACAGTTTTGTGTTTACAGGCCAACCATTCAGACAAATTGCTAAATGGCCATGGGAATTATATTTCCATGGCCCTTTATATTGGTCACCGTATTATATAATCATATTGGTCACCATATTATATAATCATGTTGGCAACCATATTATAGAAAAGAGGTAGAGATTCTGGAAAGAGGGTAGAAAAGAGCCAAAAAAGATGATTAGAGGCCTGGAGACTAAAACATATGAAGAACAGTCGCAGGAATTGGATTGATCCAGTTTAATGAAAAGCAGGACTAGAGGTGACATGACAGCAGTGTTCCAATATCTTAGGGGCTGCCACAAAAAAGAAGGGGGTCAACCTATTCTCCAAGGCACCAGAAGGCAGGACAAGGAGCAATGGATGGAAAGAAATCAAGGAGAGAAGCAAACTAGAACTAAAGAGAAATTTCCTGATAGAACAATTAATCAGTGGCACAACCTGCCTCCAGAAGTTGTGCATGCTCCATCTGGAGGCTTTCAAAAAGAGACCATTTGTCTGAAATGGTCTAGAGTAGACTCTAGGGCAGTGTTTCTCAACCTTGACAATTTTAAGGCATGTGGACTTCAACTCCCAGAATTCCACAGCCAGCAATGCTGGCTGTGGAATTCTGGGAGTTGAAGTCCACATGCCTTAAAATTGTCAAGGTTGAGAAACACTGCTCTAGGGTCTTCTGCTTGAGCAGAGGGTTGGACTAGAAGACCTCCAAGGTCCCCCTTCCAACTCTTGCTATTGTTCTTTTCTGTTCCAATCAAGTCTTACCTTGAGAGTGTAGATTCTCTCCCCTTGTTCATTGATGTAGTACTGCAGAAACATTGTGACCAAGCTGCAACCGCAACGCCGCTGACTTTACAGGTTATTTATTATGAAGAAACCGCACTTCTTCTTGTACTCCGCGCGCGCACACGTGCGTACCACCACTTCCGGGATACCGCTCCACTTTAATCTTCCAAAGAAGAACCGCCCAAGAAACAGAGCATTCTGGGTCTTGTCGTTTTATTAGTCTGAAGCTCCACGAATCACGTTACTGCCTGGCTCGCAGGGCTCTCCTGGAAGTTGTAGTCTTTTCCCTCAATGAATTCTGGGAACGGTAGTCGTTCTTCTCCGCGCAAGCCTCGTTTTGTAGAAAGCATTGTCACTGAGGATGTGGGTTTTTTTGGAGGTTTTCGCTCAGGTTTTCGTTTGACTTGCTAAGAAAACACAGTTGCCGCATTTAAAAAAAGCAAGTTGCGTAACAAGCAACACTTGGCACTGCAAAACTATCGATGGGCATAATTTTCCTGAGATTTGTAGATCACCGATGCTGTTGCCCGGCATAATGGATGAAGAAGGACGGAGGGACGATAATGACCTCAAAACAAAACCAAAATGGACCCACGTGGTGTCCTGATTTGCAGCTGTGCTAACACATAGAATAATTTTACCCTTGTTTGTTTAATAAACTGCAGCGGTTTGAGTTCATGCGCATACTAAGCCCGCACCAAATTATCATGTCTTGTGTGTGGACATCACAGTAACTCACAAGCCACTCAACAGATGTTTACGTTTTGTGCATTTTGGGTAAGCCCCACCCATGGAGGTTCTGTAAGGATCACTAAATTATGGAAGCCGGAAAATTGGATTTGTTGACTAAACCATCCTGGCTTAAAGTGTTGTGTGAACCCACCACTCTAGCATACTATTTCTCAAACCTGACAACTTTTATGGTGCGTGGACTTCAGCTCCCAGAATTGCCCAGTCAGCAATTGAAGTCCACACATCTTAAAGTTGCCACATTTGACAAACATTGTCATAACAGATGATGAATTTTAGTAGACAAAAAGGAGAGAAGTAACAACTGTATTTTAATATTGTCGGCTTTCTGCAGAAGCTAGCTTTGTTCAAACTTTTGACTGTTTTGGAAAATAAAATTTGGATGACAGCATCTAATTTGTGACAACCCATTGTTTGATCAAAGAGAGGAGAAGAATATCACATTTCCAAGCAGTCAAATGAAATAAATCTTAGATCATTCTCCAGCTCATCTTTCTGCCCTGTTGTAGAATAAAGCTGGAACACATCTAGAAGTCAATTTTCTCTTAGGCTTCACCAAAAAACAGCACCCCATTTCCATTGTGTGACCTGGGAGCAAACCCTCTCAGAGAAGGGTTTATTGGTATTTTCTCCAAACTACATTTCTCAAAATTCTGTTAATAGAGGCCATATGACAGTTAAACAGTTTCAAACTGGTTTACATTGTAAGTGTCTAGGCTGCCCTCAAGGGGACAACACGTGCCTACAATTCACTGCCCGATGTCAGAAGAGACATCATGTATCAAACTGCGCCTCACAAACAGAAACTATACTCACCCCCTTGCTGTTTCAGTTTTGGTAAACTGGACTTAGATCATATTTGGGGAAAGGTATGTAACTTTATAGGCCTCCTGTGTGATTTTTTTTTAAAGATCTCAGCTAAAGGAATGATTGTCAGCTGACCCGAAAGTAATTTCTAAAACTTGCTTCTTTACCTTCATAAGAGCTGTGTTGTGTACAGGCAACATCAGGCATGAATCTTAACCATGGAACCCAATAGTTTATTGTAACCTATTCCTGTTTACAGGTTAAGAGGTAAAAGACCTAAGAGATAAACGCCCTTAGGAAGTATTGTTGAGATGGAGTAGAACGTGCCTTCTGGCAGAAGGAACCATGTCATCTGAAAGTATTTTCCATTATGTTCGTATAATGGAATATTATATTTGATAAATACAGAGGCACTGTATGAAAATTCAGGTCGGATCTGCAGGTAGAACTTTAAGCTTCCTCCCCCTTATTAGAACCACCAAGACATCCAAGTTCTGGAACCGTTATTCAACCTTTGCACCTAGAGTCAAGTCAACAATGAACGATCTTCTTGGAAACCAGATGCCGGCCTCATGAATTTCCCAGAAGACCCAGCATCCAATCCACTTCCACTAATGCTGTTACAGCAGGACCTAACAGAGACCAAAGGGCTGCCAGTTTTCTTGGCCAGCTCAATTTGCTTAAGTTTCTTTCTCCTGTAGGATCATGACCTCCCAGAATCATACCCAGGCCCCTGGCCTCTCATCCTGCCCTCCAAATGTTCCTTCACTGCTCCTGCCAGCTTTTCCTGGGGCTGCTTTACTGGTGACCTCAGCTGACACCCCAGGAAGCAAGCTGATCATCAAACTGAAACGTGAAGGACCACTTATGGGAGGCAGTGAGGAGCTGCCCCGAACTCAGACTTTCTTCCTGACAGGGATGCCATTGGGTTGGGCCACCCACCGCCGGGATGGGCCTGGTGGTCCCGGCATCCGCACTGTGTTGTTGACGAAAGCTGGTGAGGAGTCAGGTGGTCGGAAAACCAGACCACCTGAGGCTGTCCCATCTGCACAAGGGTCACCTTCCAGTGACACCTCCTTTGCTTGTACCTCCAAGGGAGTCTATGAGAATTACCGGCGCTGGCAACGCTACAAGGCTTTGGCGAGGCGCCATTTCCCAGCCACACCTGATGCAGAAGCTCTTGCTTGTTTTTTCATGTGAGGATCCTGGTGGGCAAGATCCATAGGTTGGAAGGTTGATCTTGTCTTGGGATGATAAGGAGATATAGACAGGGTTCAGCCAATATGCCAAATCCTAAGAGAATGTATTAGATTATGATTTAGCTTGTTGGGTGAACCCAGCTATATAGTAGACATCGTGGTTTAGTGACTTCTGATAAATATTGAGCAATATATGAACCTAGACTATAAAATGGGACTAAGACACTTAAAATTAAATTATCCTTCACTGGGACAAAATGCCAAGTTTAGAGCAAATCCTATTTTTCAAAAAATGCTCAACCCGCTAGAAAAATAGACTCGAGGGAGGGAAATGGCTTGGCCCAAAGCAATATGACTTTGGTAGCAAACTAAGAACTGGTTAGCTCCAAATCTCAAATTGTGAAGCCTGAATGTAAACTTAGTCAGATTTACAGAGATTTTCATTTTGCCTCCACAGCGAGAGGTCCATCTAAAATTTCAGATCTACGAGTTTAAGGATAGACAACCAGAAGCTGTTTCTTTGATTAATTTATATTCCACTTTTCTCCTTCAACATCCAAGCGGCATCAGTAGTAATCTTGCCTTCAGATTTATCCTCCCAACAATTCTATGAGGTATCTTGGTCTCAGAGATGTTGTTTTGTTCATCACAGGACATATTTACTTACGGTTAACTGAATAATCATGGGTGATCTTTCATTCCTCCAGTGTTTAGACCATAAAATAATCATATAGCCTGGAGCAGCAAATACATGGTTGTCTAGTTTATGTTGAACACAGCCAACATCTAACCCAGAGTTAATAAATTTTGTATCAGAGTCGATACTTAAACCTGAATTTCTAGTCTCACCACTATTCTAAGCTAGGCTGTATAAATTCAGGCTACAGCTACATCACTAAATGTGCTTGTGTCAAATATTTGTGTGATGTCAAGAAACAAAGCAGAATCAAAATTAAAATCAGCACATTCCCCCCCCCCCCAAAAAAAAAGTTCCTAAAAATTCTGGCATAAAATAAACCCACTCTTAGGTGCTGCAAAGTTATATTCTGCTTTTCCTCATAGGGCAGTCTTTGTACAATCTGTTGCTAACTCCCCCCTCGTCTTTTTCCTATCGGTTTTTTTTTAAGTGCCTCTCAAAATGTTGGTTTCTTCGCCCCTTGCGACTCTCTTCTTGTTTTGTGCACTTATATCAATTACACTTCTATCACAGCGCCGTAACCACTGAGCCACACTATTGGAGAGGCCAAGAAGCTGAGAAGGTACTTTGAGGGGGTCTTGAAGATGAGGGCTTGGGGAAGGAATGGTGGGGGGAGGATGGAGAGTTGTAAGTCATGTGGTGGGAGATGCTACAGTGGGCGATGGTACCTCATTACAGTGAAGAGGGCTGTTCAGAATTCGGAAATCTTGTTGATACACAATATTGCCGTCCTGCCCTACAGCCCCGTCCTCCGTTCACTGGCCCGCCTTCGTCCCAACATGACCCTAGAGGATGGGGTCCCTCGTGCTGTGCAGGAGTGGGAGCACAGCAGCAATTTTGAACGCATGATCTTCTATGAAATGGCAGAAAAGTGAGAATTGGCTCCAAGTTGTCCCTTTTAGTATTCCCCCGAGGCCCTCAATGTATGTTACGCATATCTGGTGTGGGTTTAAGATGGTTGACCCTCTACTCAGTCTTCTTCATCTCCATCCTTTCCCAGGTTCATGGAATTTGAAGCCGAAGAAGAACAGCAGATCCAAAAGATCAAACTCCTGGCCACCTGTTCCCAGTTCCAAAACCCAGTCCCCAAACCCACCAAGCCACCAATGTCCCCCGCCCCTGAGTCTGGACATCAGCAAGGTACTGTCTATCCTCCATCATCAGCTGTTTGAACAAATGATTTATTCACTCAGGGAAGCCACTTAGAGAATTACCCAGGGTCAATCAACAAGAGGCATGATGGGAAAATAATAATAATAATAATAATAATAATAATAATAATAATAATAATAATAATAATAATAATAATAGTAGTAGTAGTAGTAGTAAAGTTGGAAGGGACCTTGGAGGTCATCTAGTCCAACCCCCTGCTCAGGCAGGAAACCCTATACCATTTCGGACAAATGGCTGTCCAGTCTCTTCTTAAAAACTTCCAGTTTTGGAGCATTCACCGCTTCTGGAGGCAGGTTGTTCCACTGGTTAATTGTTCTAACTGTCAGGAAGTTTCTCCTTAGTTCTAGGTTGCTTCTCTCCTTGCTTAGTTTCCACCCGTTGCTTCTTGTCCTGCCTTCAGGCGCCTTGGAGAATAGCTTGACTCCTTCTTCTTTGTGGCAGCCCCTGAGATACTGGAACACTGCTATCATGTCCCCCCCCCCCCTCATCCTTCTCTTCATTAAACTAGACAAACCCAATTCCAGCAGCCGTTCCTTATAT